TTTTTTTTGGTCTTTTTGAAGCAGGGTCTCCCTGTAGCCCCAGCTGTCCTGGAACTCACTATGTAGACCAGGCTGGCCTTGAACTCCACCTGCCCCTGCCTCCCAAGTGCTGGGACTACAGGAGTGCGCCATCACACCTGGCTTATTTTTAGTTTTTTTGAAACAAGGTTTTGCTCCTTAACCCTGGCTGGCCTAAAAGCATGTGGACGAGGCTCTCTTTGAAGTCATGGATGATATTCTTGTATTTTCCTCCCAAGTGCTAGGATTCCAGATGTGTACCACCATACCTGACTACCTCTAAGTTTACAAATTTTGCTTCTAAAGAACTGGAATTACAATCCTACTTGGTATTAACCAGTGTCCTAAACCATTATAATTAGTGGAAAAAGCCAAACATTTTTCATCTTTATATTCTCTCCTGCATACACTTAGGTAGGGTAGGTGGAGCTCTAGCAACTTGGCTCTCATCAAAGGAGAGTCAGGACGAGGCTCTGAGCCAGAATAGGGACCATGTTATATATTCTATTTTATTCAGATTTATTAACTCTGGTGTTTTGAGGATTGACATATACTTTATGAGTGAGTTAAGGCAGAAGAATATCTTTATGAGTTAGAAGGGTTTTCCTAGAAAGCTTTTCATGTAATTCAGTATTACAGGCTGTCTGCTTCCTGTCATAACCCTGAATCACACTGTCTGCCAGGTCAGTGTGGGCCATCCATCTGAGGTTGATGAGATATTTGATGCTATATCGTATAGCAAAGGTGCATCTGTTATCCGAATGCTACATGACTACATTGGTGATAAGGTAAAAAGCAGTTTTTAAAAATCTTCCTTTATTGTGAAATCATAGTTTAAAGCATGGACAAAATTTCTGCTTTTTAAAAATTAAATTTCTAGATTATTTGTTTATCTGTATTTCTTTTTATATTGGTTACTGGTGTTTCCTAGAAGAATGATTAGGAGTGTTTGTGATAGGAATGGAAGGCTGTTATAAAACTTTAAAAGCAGCTGGACCTGTAATCCCAACATTAGGGAAGCAGAGGCAGGTAGATCTATGTGAGTTCAATGCCAGCCTGCTGTACATATCTGAGTTCCAGGCCATCCAGGGCCACATAGTGAGACCCTGTCTTTAAAAAAAGAGAATAAAACCAGTGCTGGAGAGATGGCTCAGTGGATAAGAGCACTGACTGTTCTTGCAGAAGACCCGGGTTCGATTCCCAGTGCCCAAATAAAATTAAAAATAAATAAAACAAACCTGACCATCTTAAAAAAGCAGAAGGAGAAGGTAAAGGGTGTATGTTCTTAGATAAAAGGCAGTAGACTCCAACAGAGGGCATGTGTGTCAGTATAGCTGATATTTCCTTTGACTACTAATGTGCAGATCTGCTGGAAATTCTCAGATCCTGACTTTTTTTAATTTAAAACTTGTGTTTTCTCAGGACTTCAAGAAAGGAATGAACATGTATCTAACCAAGTTCCAACAAAAGAATGCAGCCACAGGTAATCATTGCATTTTTTTTTCTTCCTCTCTGTTTTTGTGATGCCTGAGATAAAGCCTAGGACTTCATGCATGCAAGCAAAGCACATGCTCTACCACCACGCTGCATGCTGGCCTTAGGTATTCTTTAATATAAGATATTTGCCAGCATGTACAAGGCCCTAGGTTTGATCCCTAGCACCGAAAAGACAAAAGGGGTGTGTATAAAATGTTTATACAGGAAGAGTTCTTTATAATATCTTTTGCAAATCTAGAGCTACTAGATTATGGACTGCACTTTGAATGGCAAGACCTACTATGTAATGCTTTTGTTCTAATAATTTATAGAAGACAATTAGCATTCCCATTTACTTGTAGGAATTTCAGTGCCCCCGTCCTCACTGCTCTTCCCCAAATTCGAGCTTTCATTATCTCTCCATTAGAATTACAGTTGCCTACTGGCTTCTGGCTTTGCTCTACTTCATCTCGTATACTGAGGCTAGAGTTAACTCTTGCAAGTCTCACACTACTAACTGCTGTATTGCTTTCAGGCAGACATTTGCTTCTTTGTAAACCATCTGTCTTGGGTACTTCAGCCCTTGCCTATGCTTTTAGGGTCATCTCCTCATTCTCATTACGTGCTTTTTTCTTTTTTGATTGGTCTTTTTGAGACAAGGTCTCCCTATAGCCCCAGCTAACCTGGAACTTTGTGTAGGCCAGACTTGCCTCGATCTCACAGAAATCTACATGCCCCTGCCTCCCAAGTGCTGGGATGAAAGGTGTACGCCAGTATGCTTGGCACTTGTGTGCATTTCTTTTCTTTCTTT